AATAGAATAGAATAGAATAGAATAGAATAGAATAGAATAGAATAGAATAGAAAATATGGAATGGAATGGAATAGAATAGAATGGAATAGAATAGAATAGAATAGAATAGAATAGAATAGAATTCATATCCTATCAGAAGCCAAGGCACACTGCTGTTCCACAAGGTTTTTTAATAACTTCATGGTATATTAAATATATTGGTCAGCCTATCGATTACATGTTTTTTTTCCTTATGTGCAGAAAAGCAAGCCATGTTTTATGAAAGGCAGTAACAGTAAGAAATGGAAGGGATCTTGGAGGTCATCTAGTCCAACCACCTTGCTCATGCAGGAAACCTATACTATTTCTGACAAACGGCTGTCCAGTCTCTTCTTAAAAGCCTCCAGTGATGGAGCACCCACAACTTCTGAAGGCAACTTCTGTTCCACTGGTCCATTGTCCTCCCTGTTAGGAAGTTTCTCCTTAATCCCAGGTTGCTTCTCTCCTTGGTTGCTTTCCAACCATTGTTTCTTGTTTTGCCTTCTGGTGCTTTGGAAAATAAGTGGAGCCCCTCTTCCTTGCAGCAAACCCTCTGAATACTGGAATACTACTATCATGTCACCCCTAGTCCTTCTTTTCACTGGACTACGTATACTCAGTTTTTTTTTTATCCAAGCAAAGGGTTTTGATAAATGGAAAATAAATCAAACTCTTAGAAATGCTGTATGTACTGCTCTCTAAAGTTGCATTACAAGAAATTTGTGAAAAGAACACGTCAGGAAAAGTGCATATAACATGAAATGTGGTTATGATAACTTTTTGTGTAAAGCTGGTTGAGGAGGTGATTGCCGTGGAAATGGGTAAAGGAGCTGTGGCTTGAGAGATGAAAAAACCAAATCCAACACCCCAGAATAAACATGTCATTCTAGAATGGACTCATCATGCACTCCACAGGCACAGCATTAGCAGTTTATTGCTAATGCTATGCCTATACAGACAACAGAGAAGCCAGCGTTGAATTTGCAAGCATGGCAATGGATTTTTTTCAAATGGATTTCTATTCAAAATGCATGTCCATCTAGATCAGTGGGTTGTTGTTTTTTTCCCCAAACTTGGAAACTTTACGATATGTGGACTTCTCAGACAGCAGAAAAGAGGCCAATAATCTCTTTAATCTCATTTCAAAATGATTCTCCATCTATTCTCTCAATTCAGCCCAGTCTAGAAGTTCCTGTCAGAATCTGACAGATTCTGCAAAAACACAGGAGCTAAAAACAGCAATTAAAAAAAAACCAATATAGCATACTAGCTCGATACCCGTGCTTCGCTACGAAACTATGTGGCTGGGCTTAGTTTTTGGGGAGGAAAATAAGGGGGAGGGGGGAAATTCTGCCTCTGCCTACCAGCATCCATTGGTATTCATCTGGCTAGCGTCCTGTCAGTGTGTGTGAGAGAGTTGAGGGCTGTTTGGAAAGTGATACAGTGTTTTCTGTGTGAGCAAGAAAGAGACAGCAAGGAGCCTGGGCATGGCTTAGCTTAACTGTTCTGTACTAAAAACTGCTTGCTGCTGTGAAACTGAAACTCCTCTCCTCTACTTGTGTTTAGAACTCCTTAGCATCAGAGTGTGTTAATAATAATATAGGAAATACCAATGCTCTGATGAAAAATCCTTTCTTAGTGAGCACCTAGAAGCCAAGAGTAACATAGGTGCCAAATTTCAAGTTTGTAGGCTTTATGGTTCTGGTAATTTTGTGATGAAGTGTGAGTGGTATTTCGCTCACACTATATCTATATATATCTCTATATATATAGATTTTCTTGAATAAAAAAAGAACTCTGAAATTGAAGTTTCAACCAAGATATCACACCAACCTTGGCTAAACTATTAAATATCCCACAGGTTTTCTTTTCAATTTGAAAAACACATCTTTATCTTGTCTTCATCCTTTTATTACAAAGGTCCATTCTGACCACTTTATTTCGGAAGTTAGCCCATCCAAAGATCAAATTTTTATAACTATAGGTAAAATGTTCATGGCTGAAAACGTATTTTTAGAGACTGCTAGAATGAGACATGATAAACGATGCCTTCTTTGGAAAATTTATAAGCGTGAAGTTCTTAATTGCCCTGCACACAAAGCTGGCCCGTGGTTGTGTATCAAAAGCTGGCCCACTTGCCAAACCACGGCATTCAAAAATGGAAGCATCTGGCTGGCCACTGTGAGAACCGGGATGCTGGAAGAGATTAAAAATGTGCTAAAATCCCCTCCCTTCCACTTAGCAGAATCATTTATTTGTCTCATGTGAAAAGGAAACTGGAGGCAGAATTTGTTTGGGGGGGTTGGATGGGAGTTTCTATGGGGGGGGGGGAGTTTGAGGCTCGGCCTCGCTTGGTTTTAAAGAAAGGGTCACTGAGGATTTTAAAATGCTTTTGTATGGGCCTTGTAGATTTGAACAGGCCCTTAGGCGGAGTTGGGTTATTATTATTTTTTAAATGCCTAAATGTATCTTCAACTTTTCTTTCCTTGCTCGCTCTGGCTTCTCCGTCATTCCTCATTTCTCAGTTGTTAAATTTTATACAGGCAGTCCTCGACTTACAGTATCTCAGGGGCCGCCACAAAAACCCAATATCTCAGGGGCCGCCACAAAGAAGAGGGAGTCAAGCTATTCTCCAAAGCACCAGAAGATTGGACCAGAAGCAATGGATGGAAACTAATCAAGGAGAGAAGCAACTTAGAATTAAGGAGAAATTTCCTGACTGTGGGAACAATGAATCAGTGGAACAACTTGCCACCAGGTTGGAAGTTTTTAAGAAGATGTTGGATAACCATTTGTCTGAAGAGGTGTAGGGTTTCCTGCCTAAGCAGGCGGTTGGACTAGAACAGCGGTCGCCAACCGGTGGGCCGTGAGAAAATTTTAGTGGACCGCAGAGAAATGTCACCCCCAGAGCACCCTGCCAAAGCAATTAATCCAGGCTGCGCAGAAACACAAGGCTGTGTTGCCCACATGGCCCACGGGAACCCTCCCTGCCCACTCACTCCTTACTAGGCAAACTTGTCTGCTAAGTTGCTATTTTTTCTTTATCCGACCATCATCTGTTCTGCTGTGCCAGGAAATTTAGATTAACTAGGAAGCAGGAAATGGTTGGATATCTTGGCTTCTAGCTAAGCACAGCCAAACCTCCCTTAGGACTGAAGGTTTGCTTGCAAGCAAATTCAGTGCAGACTCACGGCAAGCAAATTTGAGAGACTGAGCTAGCCGATGGCAGATAGATAGATCACTGAATGATTCTGTGAGCAACTCAATCTGCCTGCTTTGCCTGATTTTGGGTAAAAGTTGCTCTTTTTTTAAATAAAAAATTCAATATTTACATGCGTGGTGTGTTGTGAGTTAATTTTGTGAGTTTGCCTGCTAGCAAATTTTATGTGACAGACTGAGCTAGCCAATGGCAGATAGATTTCTGAATGAAACTGATTCTGTGAGCAACTCAATCTGCCTGCCTGCTTTGCCTGATTTTGGGTAAAAGTTGCTCTTTTTTATTAAAAAAAATCAATATTTATATAAATATTTATAATATTTACACACAAGCCATGCCCAGCCAGTCACATGACCACCAAGCCACACCCACAAATTAGGCCACGCCCACAGAACCAGTTACTGGTCCCTGGGATCTAAAATTATGAGTTTGGTAGTCCCTGAGGTCCAAAAGGTTGGTGACCCCTGGACTAGAAGACCTCCAAGGTCCCTTCCAACTCTGTTATTCTATTCTATTCTACAATAGTTCGTTTAGTGACCATTCAAAGTTACAACAACACTGAAAAAAGGGACTTATGACTGTTTCTCACACTTATGACCATTGCATAAGTCCTTGGGAACCAAGGACGTTCTCACACCTGGCCAGAGGAAGTAGGGGTGATGTCACCAGACCAGCGGACACTGCAGTGATTGGGCCATGTGACTGATTGTTTGGGGTTGAGGGAAGAACTTTTAATTAGGTGA